GCTAGAAAAGTCTTTTTAAAAGCTTGAATCAAAAATACTGACGTTGTCTAATTTCACTTAAAGTTACTACCATCGAGAAAAAAAGGCAACGCATTTTGCTATAAAAAATATCAATGAAAGATATTTAATTATTTTTATTAATGCTATGAATTAATTTAATTGATATGAAATTTTATTGATATTATATAATATTGAACCATAAGCAGCAAACAATTAATTTGTCAATAAATTGAATGTTATGCCAGATTGGAGCAAAATAATATCGCGATATAAATTGATGTTCGGTGTATCGCGTGTGGAAAAGTTAACAAAATAAAGGCGATTCTCTAAAATTAATTATGATGGTTTGGCGAGATTTCCCACTGGATCGCTTGGTTCGACCGATGAATAGGCGGCTTATTTCAGTATGCATCGCGTCGTTCACTTAATAAGTTTTTCTTATCAATGTGTGTCATCTACGCCGAGACCTGTCCATTATTGGTTTTATCTTGCTCGATCGTTCTCAATTATTTTCGTGAAAAGTTGTTCGATACGCATGTGCGTACTTATTAGGTGAAGTAGAATTAATGCAATGTGGTCTGACATGTGTTGCTCGTTGGCTGCGCTTTCACCTGATTAAGTTTTATCAGACCACTAAACTATTTCCGCCTACTACATTTCCGCTTGTTATACAAAACCGGTATTTTGCAGTGCTGCTCTTGGAAAGCGTAGACACCATGTAATTATCCCGTTGAGCACATGTAGAAGAGAACAAGAACGAATATAACATTTTTCAATCGTTTTTTAACATCGGAAATATATATACATATATATGTCATTAGATAAAATAAATATTTTATTTTATATATGCATAAGTATATATCATAATTTGTATCACGATAATAAAAAGAGCAGCATTATAATTTTTTGGCTACTGTATTATGACTATGCGAAAGATTCGTCAGCGAGTGTCAATTTTTGTTATAAACAAAAATAAATAGATGAATGCATTGACGACACAGAGAAACAGACAATTACGGTTGAATAAAATATCTCGATATTCGGCGTAGAAAGACTTTTCAGCGCATAGAAAACAGTCTGCCCGGCCTTGATATCGAATCCATATTGATGGAGATTCGCTGGAAGGGTGTGAGACAACGTGCCACGATTCGGCCAGATTTGCATGCATTAACGCCACAAGCGAGACTGATTGACAATCCGTATGTCATTGTGATGTCAGTCAAATCGGCCGAGCGTCCTCCATCAATCGCAATCAATTAAGGTAACGATTGATTGTTACGCGTTTGGCCTCGGAGAAGAGAATATCGTGAGCCGGTTATGTGGAGCATAACGGAACATTGCAAAAGCTACAGTATCGTAGAAGTGAAAGGGACGATGAAAAATGTTTAGAATGCATGTTGCGCGTTGTTTATTTTGTGTAAATTATTATTTTATACTTCTCTTTTGTACTACTTTTTTTTTGCAAGCTTTCTTGCAAATTTTAGTGTGATAGAAATATATTTAATTATAAAATTTACTATCTGTGAATTTATTAAAATCTAATCTCTTTATATATAATATTAGACGTTTAAATAATTATAAATATTTGTTCTTTACGATTTCCATACTTTGATTTAATTAAAGCGATAATCTGCTAGATCTCTCATCTTATATTGTCCAATCACAAATAAGTAATTTAATTTTTATATCGTTATTTTATTTTTGGAAAGTTTTACTGAGTAGATTCACGTTAAAAATATCGATGTTAATATGTCAATTATTTCCATAAATATTTGTTATGCTCAATGAACATTTAACGTAATGTTTCCATGCGTGAATGAGTAGAGCGATTTAAAATCTGCCCGGCTCGCCACTAGAAGCGGAATTAACTTTTATCGCGATGCTGATCAGTCTTGGAGCATTTTCTTTTTTTCCGCGCAAAATTTCGCCGTCCAAAGCATCCCCTCGGAGAGGCACGGGTAGAAGCGAAACGATCGCGTGGGATCCGAAATGGAATCCATCAAATTGACGGAGGGAAAAGCGGAGAGATGGTGCGTCACGGTCATCGCGACTGGTATGAACGCGGATGGAAGAGGATGAGAGGAGGCAACGTAGAAGAGGAAGACCGCCGGTTGCAGCGCACGGAGGGCGCATACGAGGGCTATGATCGATGCCCCAAAATTAAGGGCTTGCCCACTGAGCGAAATAAAGTTAGCCAATCGTGCTGGCGACGGGCCTGTTCGAACGTTATTGGTTGTGGCAGCGTCAGGGTGCGTTATTCGTCGCACACCGACCCGATGCCCGATTTTTTTCACGCATTCTCTCACCCTCCGTTTCTCTGTTTTCGGAGGGAGAGTTTCTGGATACCGGCAATTGGAGAAAGAGAGTGACACCGGAACGCGTGAGCGGAGGAAGCGGGTGGATTTTCGTAATTATGAAACGCCGTTAGCCCCCGGGGATCCGTCAGTCGGCGGGGGAGCCCATGGCGCTGTCCGGCTACGACAATGCCATTTTAATTATGCATGTTAATTGGTTTCCGAGTCCGGCGTAATACCAGCTTCTCTAGGACTGTTCTCGCAATCCGCCTATCATCGATCGACGCCATCATGTTTCGATCAATCGATGGACTGATTATATCAAACTGTTGTTCCCTAATAGAAGGGATTTAAAATCTCTGCAATTTTTATGAATCTGCATTTATGTTTGTCGGTTAACAGAATTTATCCGTAGTAGAGAAGCATTTGATAATTTTTGAATTGAATTGGTTATTATGCGTGATGAAAAATATCAATTTAATTAAAAAAGATGTACGTATATACAAGCTATTTATAGAAGTTTTCGCATAAAATAAAAAATGTTATCGTACTAAGTAGGAAAGATTTGAAAGATTTATTCTCACAAATCTCTCAAATGTCAAATTTTACATATTGCACGTGTGTAAAGTACTAAATTCAATTTGCTATGTATCAATACCAATATTAGTTTAAATGAAACGGTGTCTGAAAGTTTAAATGTCTCAAAGTTTAAATTAAATTAAATGAAGTATTAGTGAAAATTGATTGGATATTCCGCTATCGAAAGTTGCGCGAAGGGATGAAAACGGTCACGCTTAGGAATACGGATGCTTTGTTTTTCTCTTTAGTCAAATATACCAAATTGATGCGGAGCGCGTTGTACTTTCTGCACAGCTGAGTGAGCATGTCACAATCAACCAGGACCGCCTCAATCAAAGTGGCATTGATACCCTTTGCCCACTCTCACAATCCGGCTTTTGCATTTTCCATTGTAGTTTTATGTGCGACCAAAAATCTATTAGCTTTTTAATATATATTTTCCCCGTGAATAATAAATAATGATACATCACCTATATATTTATAAGAAATAGTGAAAAAATATTTTGGATGTTTATTTATAACGATATAATTATAAGATATAATTAAAAGATATAATCAGTGATAAATGAAAAAATATATCAAATGTGTTATATTTTTTGAGTTTGTGTAATATTTTATCTAGTCAGATTTAACGAACAAATTAATTTTCCATTGGCATAATTTGATATCAGTGCATTATCAATATATTATATAATTAACATTGTATAATATTATATATATTGTATAAAGTAAGATTATTTTAATTACTAAATGATAAAGCTAAATGTAATGATGATTTTATTCTATAATTTTGCGGAAGTTGTCCATTTATTTTACTCTCGTTACGATCCATCGTGTCTATGAAACGAACTCGAGGGTGGCGTTCGTCACGACACGCGACCGCATCGCGGTTGCATTCATGTTACAACGTGGTTGTTACGACATTATTCGAGTGCGTGCGTGTCGTGTGCCAAACGAGCATTTTCGAGATTAATTCTTCTATCGTTTCACCAATCGGACCAGCCTACGAGATTGCATAATCTTTACAGGACGGTATATATAATACTACTATTATTTTCTCAACTTTCCTGCAATATGACAGAATCGTTAGCATGTTTTAATTTACCCATAAAATATTGTGAATATTATTAAAAATGTCTCAAAATTTAAAAAAATGTATTTGCAATTTTATTTTGCGAACATTAACTTGATATAAATGTTGCTAAAATATTGTATCTTTAGATCTCTATTATCTAATGATATTACTGCCAAGTTAGTTTCGAATATCGGAGAGTAAAATACGACTGTCACACATGGCATCGAGGTTAAAACCCAACAGGTGCAGACGTCGGGAGATTCAAAGGCGTAGAAAAATAGTTACGCGCGAGGCCTATCGGGCTTTTGCCTGTCACCGACGTGTAACACATATCCCTTCGAATACGGATGAAAGCTCGAAGCCGCCGACGTATCGAGGCCCGAGGGTTGAGCACCCCTGAGCACAAGATGTCCTCCTGAAGACTATCTCGGTCCGGGTCCCGCGGGAAACCTCTTCCTTCCTGCCGTTCCTATCTCAGGACACTCTATAGCCTATTCAGATACCGGGCTCACCCTGCTTCTCTCGTGTTAGCCGCGCCGGGAGAGACAGAGCGAGTACACTCGAGAGGAAGAGCGAACGAGCGAGGTAGACGTATAAAGGGAGTCTATGTTACCATAGACGAGCAGCACCATGCATAAGGTAGAGAATGTATAAGTACGCCCGAGTACGTATTCGAGTACTCTTCTACACGGCAGCCCCGTCGCACCTCGTAGAAAACGTATTTTGCAAGCCTAAATGTCCTAGGAGCCTGGTCACGACGATACACGGGACTCTATCTTATATAGGAGAATCTCCTTCTCGAGAAGAAGTTGAGTCTGAACCCTTATTTCGTAGATCGTTGAAAACGATGATAGCGTGAAAGACAAGCTGATACGAAAGGCGTTTCTAGGAAATCGATGCCCACGTTCGCTGTCATCGAGTTGAGATTCCGTTATGTTTTGCTTTTGTATCATAAAACTCGGTTGTTACGCAATGCACGCGTTTTAGCAGATTATGGCAACCGCGATATCGGCACGTTTGCTCCGCAATGTTAGATAACAGATTCCACTCACCGGTCGATGATGACAGGATCGCTGGGCGTTTCGTTCCTGTTGCCGCAGCTTTTCTTATCGCAGCATCGACTGTAAGCAGAGAGTACATTTTTGTCAAATTATTCTTATACGACAAAAATTATTTTTATAAGAGAGATACGAATAAAAAAAAGCTCCAGCGAAGTCAGAAGTTTCGAGTCTGCCTAAAAAATACCGAGACCCTTGGGATTCGGGAAGTAGGTAGCGGAAACTAGTGGTAGTGCGTTCCCGAAGTCCCATGGGTCACAATGAGTCAGCCATCCCCGGAGAACGACTACATCCCCGTATGCCTCGTTATGTTTATGCCACGAGGGTGGCTGCCTATACAGAAGAGGGATATTTTTCTAAACGCAAATAACGTAAGTCGAAGTGTGAAACAATTTTGCACTATAAAAAATGTCAACAAAAAAATTTAATAATGACTTAAAAATAATTATATGTGGATATAAAGACTTTTTTAAAACTTAAGAATTATAAAGAAATATGTGTGAATCCTTCTACTATAAAGATGACTTATATAAAGAATAAATTTTTTTCAAACATACCTGCACATAACTTCATGCGTCAAAAGAACACGGCACATTTCCGGATTCTTATCCTGTCCCTCGTACATGATTGCCTATAACAGAAAAAGAGTATGATGTATAATCAGTATTTTTTGAGTTTATAATAATTTACTAATAAACTATAATTTTTGATATGCATAAGCTGCATTTTTATAAATAATTTTTATTTTAATTAGATTTATATTTTATTTTGCTAACTTTAAAACATTTTTCTTTCATACATATAATTATAGCCATTACTTGTTTCTTCAATTTTTCAGATACTTAGTCAATACTTGTCGTTAATTCTGTTTATTTTCGGTGTACACGGGAAGATTTTAGATTTTATTTTGAAGAGAAAAGTGCTAATTAACGTGGACGCAGACTACGCGGAAGTAATCAGTTCGGCAGATAATTCAACCATCGGCGGAAAATATGTAACGTATTAAGTAAGCTCGTATGCGGACGCGAGATGAGAAGAGGGGCTACTTTCCCCGCAGGACTACTAAGCCATGGGCGGCGCAAGCAAATCCGTTAAGCCTCCTTCACGACCACGCGATTGATTTTTATTTAATGACAACACGTCGTTATCCGGTATTCGTGCACTTACCGATGGGGACCTTCGCGCGGATTAACTGTGGAATAACAAAGCGCGAATAGATAGGCTCGCACTTTGATCTCATGTAAATATTCTTCGAAATGGGAGATTAACTCATTTCTTGAACGTAATTTTAAAGAAATTATTCATGTGTAAAATTAAATTCAGATGTCATATATGCTTGTTTCAATCTTAAACAACGTGATACTTTTTAGTTGGAATATTTTCACGATATAAGTTCAAAATACAATACGATAACGATCATGTTATTGGTCCGATTTGAGAAAATTTGAGCGTTATTCTCGTTTCGAAAATTTCTTCACAGCGAGAGATCAAAGCGTTTGATGGAGCAAAACTTCAAAGAACGAACGTGTACAATCGCATCGATTGTGTGCACGATTTCTACGCAATTTCGTGGTTTGCATAACAAGCTGAATCGCTAGAGTTCGCGGAGAAGAGCGATAAAATGTAAATATTGTGAAATACAGTGTCCCAGGGAATTCGTCGAGTTGACGGCACCGCCGCGCTTGGCCGGTTAAACATCGGTATATGACGGTAATGGTATCAGACACACTTGGTTCCGACGTGTAGGTGCGACTTCCAGAATGGCGTCAAATATTTATGCGAGCGAAATAACCGAATTGCAACGTAAACGAACCACCGTGGCTGTATATATCGCAATAGGTAAATCAGAGAGGGATCCGGCGTCGAAACGGAGTCGTCAGGATGGAAAATAGAGGGGTAGGAATAAACATGGCGGAAGAGCGAAGGCTTGGGGTATCGCGCAGTTGAGATGGCAGGGGAAAAGTACAGTAGTTCTTGGTAAGACCAAAGGAAGAAGTCATATAACGTTACGTGCCGCCTGGCTATTACGAATCTTAATAGTAAAGAGACATGCAAACTTATTTGTACTAGGTATAATTAACATAAGTATATACTTTGTACGTATTAACCTCTGTCGCGAGATAAAATTAACGTTTACTTACACCTTAAACAATTAAGTTTTGTGTGAAATATCCATTATCGTGTCTCGTGAATCAGAATTTTTCATTAGTTAGAAGATATCATTAAACGGACAATATAATTGTTGTATGAGAGAAATGCTTTGACGAAAAAATTTGCTATATTTTTTTTATTAAAATATAACTTTAGAAAAATTAATATATTCAAAAATTTGTTTTTTACTAATTTACTAAAGCTATTTAAAATTAATTAATTTATTAAACTTACTAAACTTGCTTGTTTAATTATAATAAGATGTATAAAATATATAATATATGATATGAAAAATCTTCTTAAATCATATAACATTTTATATATTAGCTGCACTTTTCATTGCTTTTTTAATTGCTTATAAAGAGAATTATCTATGAAAAATTGATAATAAAGTTAGTAACATTTCCTTGAAATATTATTATAATTATTAACGAAACGTGTAATAATGAATAATTTCTTCTTTATTTTCAAAATCAGTCTGTAATGATTAAAGATATTTAAAATTTTAAAATTCAACTAAGGATATCTGGATTTCGACAAAATCTAAAAAATTGTTGGATGTATCATCTTTGTTTATGAATTTGTACATGCGGGGTGTGAAATAATGGTTGGTTAAACGCAACGACGGTCAGGGCATATAACACGTGCGACGTGACATGCAATATTATTTGCTTAGCGACTATTACCTGAGCTAGAATGGTTTTGTTTATTCTGTACACCCGCAATATGTGCGAACAATTTGTAAGCAATTACTTTTATCACACCTGCTCTTTCTCTCTCTCTTTCTCTCTATCTCTCTCGGAAAATTATCTGTTTGCTTTCTTCACTAAAAATATTGTCTTCCGATAATTCCGTGAAACGAATAATAGACAGAAAATAATAGATAAAACAGAAACCACGCGTTTATATTTTCTGATCAATATAAAATAATTACGATTAATAAATTTTAATAAATGAAACATAACATAGGTGCAAAATTTCCAGAGGTTGTTTCTCATAAAGACCTGAATCATTATAGTACGTGCTGTATGTCCAGTTCACATTTTTACATGTGCCAGTTCCAAAAGATGCGCCATAGTCTTTCTTTGCTTCTCAGTTTATTGGATATGGCAGGGTTATGTCGCAAGATGTCTCAAGGGTGAAGTAGGCGAAGGATGGTCGGAGGCAACGACATCAAACGGAGGGTCCTGGGGGTGCGACCAGTCAGTATGATCCCCTCGGGGGCCTTTCTTCCGTTGCCTTTTGGTCCCACCAGGAGAATGTTTGGGCCCTCATCGCAGCTTAATTCCCACGGGAATTACTTACTGAGGACTTATAGCGGGAGAAGTTTCGGAATGTCCGATTATGATCAATTCATATATTGCACAATATTACAATCTAATACATTAAAATAAAATTTTTTTTAGAATTATAATACTGTCAAACTTTTTCATATTGCGTTACCAAGTAAGACCTTTTTAACTGTTTTCTCTAAAAATATTTGTGGATTTACAAATGATAACTACATCACTACACACATGCAAGTTTATCAATTTTAATAATCTAAAACGGAAATATTATTACTGATATTCCATCTTGCGTTTACTTTTGGATGCTATATCATCGAAATCAGGAGGCAACAGACTGGTATCGCCTGGCAGTAGAAAAAGAATCGGCATGCATGGTAATAAAACGACGTAATGTCGTTCTCTTGGAGATGACGGAGAGCAAGGAGGGAAGGATGCAGATAAATTCGAAGATAGTCATTCAAATCTGCCGTAATGATTTCCATCCCGAATCGATTCCAAAAGTCCCCTAGGAATCCCCCTCTATTTCGGCCGGGCAGCTTCCCGTACATTCGAACAACATGTATACAACGTTACCCTCGCCCCTGGAAGACTGTCCATCGCCTGAGGGGAACGGTCGGCCTCTCTTTTTCTCCTCTTATCTGCCTGGGATTAACTTATCTCGAACTTATTATTTCCTTAATCTATGGTTAAATACTCATATTTCAGTATTAGTTGCATTTCATGCTCGAGAGATCGATGCCAGTTCAGTTTGATAACTTAAGCTGTGGCTTCACGAATGTCACGTCGATTATAGATGAAAAAAACGCAAAGAAATCTTTAATCAGACGATGAAAGGATGATTTCCGATCGAATATGCGTTTCTGTTCGATATCTTGCAATATGCTATCGAGAGTCGACGTTCACAGTGAGAAAAATATTGACGACTGGACCATCTCCAACGTCGCGCGGATGGAATTTAAAAAGGTTAAATACAATTTCCTGTTGTTCATTCATTTAGAATAACGGCGCCGCGCGGTTCTCTGCTTCCTCCATACACACGTTCTAAATGCTTTTTTATCCCCGGAACTAATTACCATTTAGCATTTTTAATCCCGCGAAAAAGCGCATTCTGGCTCTCATTCGTCCCCCTCTCGCCGGCCGGAAGTTCGTTCCCGAGCGCTTAAAAGCGTACGTTGTTAGCGCCATTCAGCCACGCTGCACGAAACTCGTTTCTTTCTCGGGAAGCAGCTCGTATTTTTCTGGAAATTTCACCGAGAAACGCACGGTTCTCAACATCCTGTGCCCTTTTTTTTCTTCCCCACTTTCTCCATCCCTTTCTCTTCCTCTCTCTCTCTTTCTCTCTTTCTTTTTCGTTTGCGTCTCGTTGCACAGGCACTTCGCTCGCTGGAATTCCAGGAAGCGAACGTTGATATAGATACCTACCTTGGCGAGGAGCGAAGAAATTGAAGAAAAGCTTAAGGGTTGGGAGGGTTTCACCACGAGCTCAGCGGCCGACTCGGTGTAGCCAATTATTGCGGATTTATAACCGAGCACCTGATTCGGTCTCGAGAAAAGTTGGCGCGTTTCCGAATCGCAATTTGCAAGCCGTAACTCGGCTTCGCGCTTGCGAGGGATTCGTTGAGAAAGTGGAACGAGCTTGCACAGATACTCGTAAACTTTTCAATGTGAAAATAATGACGATAGTTTGAACAAATATTTACTGCATGCATTTATTCTAATAAAAAATCAAATTATAAGGGCCTTTTCAATCTATGAATATCAAGTAAAAAACTTTGGCGAATGTCTTGTTATGAGATTCATTTCTTTTAAGCTTATAAAAAATTATAAATGTATCAGATAATCATTATAAGAATAAAATTCATTATATTTTTAAACCATTGATCAAGAGCCATTGATTAAGTCATTCATCTAGAAAACTTTAATTTTCCAAATCAGTGAATTTGTATAAAGTTAGGGAATTTTAATATGCTTTAAGCGGTTTTCCTTCCATGTTTTAATTATGAATAAGCTTCGAGTTTGTCAATTTTTTAAAGAACAATGAACAGAGAGCTGAGTCGACCTGGATTTACTAAACTTCGCTCACTTTGTTGCACGTAGCGGTGCACACGGACACGGCAAATATACATCGATTCTCCTGTCTATATCTCTTCCTCTCGTTCTGGCAGGGTGGCGGAGACGCGTTCAATCGAAGCTTTGATGTATAAATTGCAGCTTTCTCGTTTTCGATTCTTCCCCCTCTCAGCTTTCTGCTCCTTTTACCAGCATGATTCCTCCATAGAATCGAGAAGGGTGTCTCGGCATCTATCTATCACTTCCGTTTTTCTTTTCTTTATGGACAATCGTCCTCAAACACTCTCTCGACCTCTTTTTCTGTTCTCAACTTACTCTTTTTCTGTATCATATAATTGTTCTTTTACGCAAATTATATATAATATTACATACATGCAAAATTTATACTACATATATACATGCTTTATATATATATTTGTTCTTTTTCTCTTTATATTTATGTTATGTTATAATATTAGATGTATAATAATTCTCGCTTCTTTTGTCATTTGTAAATGTTAGAAGCGTTCGTTTATGTAATATATATTTTACATATATGATAAAAATATCTCTTCAAAAAATCGCATATTTATATAGAAATTTATAAAAATTGTGTGTTGTGTGGATAGAGTTTAGTATTTTAAAATTAATATTTCTGCGCGCGCGTTCAATATTTTATTTATTCATTTATTTTTTATTCATTTGCCATTTCCTTTGAAAGTTAATGCATATATCGATCACTCTCTATTCTAACCATTCAACTATGACGTTCCGGATCCGATTAATAAAAGGAATGGATCGCGAATTGAGGACCGGTCTCTGCTGGTGCAAGGCCACCGCGGCTTAGTAATTTAATCAGCTAAAACTAACATCAGCTCTGTTTCCCCAACCCTCCTCCTTCATTCCTTCCTCTCTCCGCTTCCTTCTTCTCTCTACTGTTACCCTCTTCTTACCTCGGTAACCGACCAACCCCAAGATGATTTAATTTGCTAAAATGGTGCGCATATCTATAGGAACTTGTTAGGTGCTCGGGTCGACACGAAACAAAATAATTTTAAGAAATTCATATTTCTTCTTTGTAGTATAATATATATATAGCAGTAGCATATATTTATAACTTTTACTTATAGATTAATGATGTTTTTCTCATTTAAGTAACATATAATCTTTAAACATTTTGTAAACCATTTTTAAGAAATTTTTTTAGAATCAATAAGTATATGGAAGATATAAATAGAATATACATATCTCATATTTTAAGTTATGACTCATGTATGGATATGTCTCATCAACTTTTAAATGTCAATCTTTATTTATATATTCTCTTTAAATTATAGGATCTTGTTTTTCTATGTGTCGTGACATCTTGTAGGTGTGAAACATACTCTTCAGGAAAGTGTCCTTGCCTAAAAAGTACCCCTGGATGAACATAAAAGGACTTATCGCGACCGTGATCGCGCCTATGTATTTGCGTTTGCACGAAGTTTGTGATCCTTCTTAGCACCCTTATCGGACCTCGGGGATCTACGTCCCTGGGTGCGGGATCACAACACGTGGTTCGCGGGCCGCGCGCAGAGTTCGCCACGTGGCGCAGATAACAGGATGGGACAGCCGCGCGCAGCGATGTGCCTGCTTTCCCGGAGGGGTAAGAATCAACCCCCCGGAAAATTAAGTGCTTGTAGCCGAGATGATAACACCCCCGTTCACGTGCGCGCATCGCTACGACGATTTCGCACAAGTCTTGTTGCGTAAAAATGGCAAAAGAGAATGATGCAAAAGTTGTTTGCGTAAAACGAAAGATGATTGGCATATCTTTTTTTTTTGAATTGTTGTCTGACAATATATGAGATACATCTCGCGTTATGTTGTCGCAAAATACACATATTTAAAAATTAAGAAGATAATTTGTCTTTCACAATATCGTGACAATTACAATAATTATTATAATTATTAAGAAATTGTATCAAGGTATTTAATTAGTAGTATTTTTTAGTATTTTTTATTAAAAAATGAAGAGAGAGTCATGACAATTGAAACATATAAATTTAATTCTTTACAAAATATATTTATTCAATGAAAATAGTAGAATTTTTAAAGATTTAAATTATAAGTTAGAAATCAAGATATTTGTTACTTACTTGTTTAGTCGCGGAGTCTATAAGCCTGACGTAAATATCCTGCACCTGCCTGACACCTAAAAAATAGATAAAATAATGTTAGTTTAAACATATTGACAACAAATTAAAATAATATTATTGTCATACAATTTTGTGCAATGTTATGCAATTTTGTTTTCTTCGCGCATCTCGATAAAAAGCATCATTAAGCAAAAAAGCGTTTCGTGTAGGAATTCAGAACGTTTACGAAAGGAATACGACGAATATGGAAACGTGCCCAAATTTTGTCAAGTATATCGCCGTCTAAAGCATTTCTTTCAGAAAAAGCTGTATATTTAAGAAGTATTTCGTAAAGTCGACGGCAATACAAAGCAGCTCATTTTTGTCCGTCGATACTTATGCACAATCAATCTCCTTCTTTGTATCGATCTTGACTTTGCTTTGAAACGCCAAATATCGACATCGCCGCACATATGTTTCAGGGAGAAATATGCGTTAATTATCGTTGTGTTCTTGCATGTTTTTTTGAGATACAAATTCGAAAACTTGAAGAATTCGACAATTGTTGATATCCACTTATGCAAGATATGCTTTAAGGTAAACGCAATTAGAGACCACACACGTTCCATGTCTCGATGTCAAGTGTCAGTGAAAAAATGATCAAGCCTGTAATTTTAATTTTTTTCCTTTTCTAATTGCAGTTTTCGCAAAACAGCATAAAACCGCGGAAAGAATGCTAAGAAAATTGCAAGATACGTATCGGCACGCTATTATCGCGCGTTATCAGGATCGTAATTACAGTTTGCCTACAATGTGCGTCTCGGCGTTGCAAGTTTTCGAAACTGTTCCTTCCTTCCTGGGGGAGTCCCGGGTAATCCTGGGGTGTATTTCGGACAGACACCCCCGTGGCTTCCGGCTTCGCGTGCCCGGTAAGCCAAGTAATCCCGACATAAGACTCCCAGACCCGGCGGGCGCCCAGGTCCAGGCTCACCGCCGCATAACGTTATTGCGGATTACGATACTCTGCTCGAAACTAGCTCACAAATTACCTCGAGAAACCGTCGCGGCTTTACCGGAAGTTACGTACGCAGTCGACCGGTTTACCGTATCCGTGGCCATGTCAGGATTTGCAAATACGGGTCGACGCTAAACTGACCGAATAACTGCTGCGAGCTTCCGCCGGAATATCTGGCTTTCTCTACAAGTATCCTAATCAGTAACGATTCAACAATGGAAATATAAATTAAATATTTGTTGCAAACGTAATGCATATAAAACAGTTAAGGTAATTATGATAAGAAAATTTAGAAAACTTATAATTGATCTCATGATATGCATTTTTTTTAAATCTATAAAACTTTTCGATCGGAAGACTGTTCACGTCAATATACGATACACAAGTTTATTTAAGGATGTTTTGTATCTATTTTCAAAATATTGAGAATTTAATTGTACAGACAATTGTACAGAATGTCTTTACATATGTTTAGAATCTTCAGTGCAATTTTTAAATCGATTCACTAAAGCGTTCGCAAGTTATAAGGATTTTAATTTGCACCGAATTAACATGTGTTTTTATGGGAAACGTATAACCACATCGATTCAAATGACAAAAACACATGGAAATAATATTCAGAATTTGTTTAAAATTTGCAAAAGTTTAGATATAGAGGAAATATTTGGTCAAATAATATTATACAAGTACTAACTGGTTAAAAAGATATTAAATATAATTTTTATTAATTTATATTAAATATAATTCAATGAAGTTAGTCATATATCTGTCACAAGACGAAATTCTCTGCCAAAAATTAATCATTTCGATTAACAAAATTCGGAATATTTCAGTAAAAACGCAATTCCACAAAATTTCTTACTCAAAATACACCAAAAGTGGATATATTCGTCAATATTGATTTTCAGCTACTTTTTGCTGCGATTGTACATACAAAACATCCTTAAGAAAATATGTAAAATGTCATTCAATTTTTTAATTATATAACATATGATATCGATTACAAAAATTACACTAATTTTTTTCCCTGCTTCACAACTGCACTCAAAATTAATAATAAAAAAAATTTACATTAATTCCTAAAAAACTTAAAATAATAAAGATAATGTTATAAAATTAATGTTATAAAAATGAAAATAACGTTCGTTTCTTTATAGTCTGATTCATTTTATATCGGTTAAAGGACTTGGAATGTAATTGTAAGCGTGCAGAGAATTGCCGCGTGTCAATCTTATCGCCAACAGCGCGGCACTTCGCGATTCTGAGCGATGACGATAAAGGTAAGCGATGAAAAACACGTTGAATAAGAAAGATGACTCGCGTGCCATGTCCCGCTGAGTGGAGGCAAATAAGTCTAGGTCGGCTGGCATTAGCATAACTAGGCGACCAGGTTCGAAGGGGACAAGAACGATCTCTCGAAAAAGCAGACACCGCCCATTCTATCGTCCTGATCAGCGATCCTTGATCAGCGGCATTTATTATGCACGCGTTATATTCCGCCAGGTACAAACTCGTGTATTTCGCCTTTGCGTCTATTCTCCGAATATGTGTTGTATGTTTCTTCTCGCTCATGTGCGCGACGATGGCGCGAGAAGCACGCAAGAAAAGAGTAGATGATATAGGCAAGGAAGAGAAGGATGAGCAGAAAATGGAGCGCGCAGGAGGAATGAGGGATGACAAAAAGGAGTAAGACCCGATATGGGCGAGAGCCCGTCGTCACTCGAACCGTAAGGAACGCTCCTTATTTATTATTTAATTATAGATTTATTGCCTGGTCGCGCGCGCGATGCGATCGGTGATGCCATGGCGTGCACGGGAACACCTGATGTGGATCTGTCAGTGTAACGGTGGACTTGTAGAGACGAGGCATGTCCGCGATCCAATTTGTCTCCAGGGCATAACATTCGTTCGCGCGTGCACGTGGCAAAGTATTTCGTGCATGAAACTTTTATAAATGACACGACAGTCCGATCTACGGCGCATAAATCAGAGCCACACAGATGTATCGATTGACTGCAAAAAGCATGGTTGATAGTGCACTACTCGCGTGCAATAATATATACATTATTGCGTTCGATAAAAGCGTGTAATTAAAAAAAATTTTTTTAAATATTTTTGCAAGCCGTATAATCAATATTTTTATATTACAATGTTTGAATATGCATTGACTACTTTTTTCTCTTTTAGATTTATTTATTATTATTATTCGATAAACTTTTATTTTTTTATGAGAAATTAATCGGTTAATCCGGTTAATTATCGGTTATATTTATTAGATATTTTTTTAATATTGTTAAAGTAACACAGTGGAAATTATCTAGATTTAGATTTATTCCAAAATAAAAAATTGACATTACATTGAAAGCGCACACGGTCTACAATTTATTAAATTTAAATGTTCCTTCAATTGCTTCTGTTTCGATATACCTCTTTCATGTTTAACGATCAGAATTCTGATACGCAAAACCAGCCGTTGACAAGCCATAGATACGGATGGCATCGCGCTTGAGAGAAAGCAGAGACAAAATTGCATAATGATAAGGAGAGGCAAGGACGCAAACAGATGAGAGCACGTATCTTGTAGAGAATACGCGAGATCGAGGAACGGTAACCGGAATACGATGAAGAAATGCGCGAGAGAGACGAAAAACTCGGCTGAGAGACGCGCGTTGGTATTTCTTAGTTTGCAACAGTTAGTTGTTTCTTGTTCGCGATGTTGACGACACGTTTTAGTGTCCATAGATGGGAGCGCGGTCCCTCAGTCAGGCCTCGATCAACGCAAAAATCTTGCATTGATTGATCGGGCACCGGCAATGGGGAGCGGGAGGGGGGGGAAGGGGTAAGGGTGCGCTGTATGAATCCCGGAAAAAGGAAAAACGAAAAGGGCAGAAGAAAGGTAGACGAAGGGTGATTTCATAGCGGCGACGAAATGGGACGACGGCAAGAACAAGGGATATAGAAAGATGACCGCGGCTTGTTGATGTTACTCATGACGTATATGGAGCGAAAAACTGTAGGATCGGGGACCTGCGTATAGCGCCTTGCGGCTTTTTAATATGTTCGTAATACGTAAGACGTTTTTCGGGGGTCGGCTGGTCGGACCACCTTCAAGCCACTTCGCTTCTTCTGCTCTCTTTCCGTTCTGCCATTCTCGCGCGCACACTCGTACGCTTCTTCGAGACGGAAGCTGGACCTTTTTTGCCAGGTCCGGACCAGCGACGTAAAATATGTCTCTGTTGCGGTCGGGCTTCAAAAGTCCCTGAACTTTTTAGCGGTTTTAAGAGACCGGCTGTCCACATGGAATGTCGATGACCCGTCATCATTGCTGTAAATGGGATTATCACGTATCCTATCCCTTCCCTAAACCCACGAATACGTTTGTTGATATTGATTCAAGAGTCTATTCAGTTGTGATACCTTTCCGGATGAATATGATTTGTAAATATTCATTTATATGTGTACTTCATTTCACGCATTGATTATTTTATTGAAAATGAAGATATTAATATTTAGTATAAATATGCGATGTATTAATTATTAAATAATCAAATGTATGGAAAAAACGAATTATTAAATTGATTGACTTTGCTGATGACTGAAATTAATAACGTTCAAGCAATCAATAAATTGTTTTAATTATTTAAATCCTAAAATTATTTTTTGCTACTTACCATTGGAGTAGAGTAGATGTAGACTGTACTGGATGCCGTTGTTCGTTTTTGGACCTTCAGACTCCTGGAAAAAGACACAAAAAATACATGTAAATAATACAAGTTATTAATTAATCGGCTGTATTTTCAAATTATGTATCCAGAAATATTCGAACAAATTCTACAAAGCTACCAATGGTTATTGGTCTCGCGTTCTTCGCGGTCTGCTCTATTTTAATTAAGTGCATCGTGACGCAACGCCTGTGTGTGCCCAGCCTGCTCCACCTCACGCTAATTATTAATTTCTTGATGCGCCGGTAAGAGCCATGCCATTACGTATGGCGTGCGATGCATAATTATCATCCTGCCCCGTTGACGAGTCATGCGTGCATCGTGCCATATGCCGCGACCGCGGTAATGCATTTTCAACTACCAACCCCCCGGAACATCATGGTCGCTGGTACACCCACGACTATACCCCTCTCTCTCTTCCCCCTCCCCCCCTCCTCTCCACGCCACAACCACGACTTTTAGTCGTGCATACGACCTTTCGCCTCGAGGATAAACGTTGGCAGTTCGATCGATTCTACGTCAAATTAACGTAATTACGCGTATAGACGTGTAGTAAAACTTGGTCTCGCTGTCCATTATTCTACTGTCCACGCAGAGACGCGATGTTATGCAATTATCTAGAATATCCTTCTAATAGATTGCATTAATTTTTTACAAATTTTGCGTAATTTTTGCAAGGGAATGAATTAGTATGATACATCGATTGCCGCTTTTGTAGATGGATATATTCGACAAATGGAAGAGTAGAGAGATACTTAATAAAATTCTACTCAAATATATTATTTCGAAGCAAGCAAATTATAATTATCTAATCACGGATAGTAAAATTATATGGATAATAAATAAATATGTGTATATTCATAAACTTACATATATATGTGTAATAATCTTTCAAATATACTAAAATTTATACAAAATGTATGAAAAAGAGAAATTGAATATTTAATTTTCCATAGTATTTTAGGTTTGTCCTGGACAATTTCATATTTTCTAATTCTCTAATATTTCCAAGCCGACTATATCAGTTGCTCCGTTTCGATGAGTTGCGCAGGAGACGTAAAGATTATAGCTTATCAGCTTAAGCCCGAGAATAGTCGACGCGAATGAGAACACCGCATAAATCCATCGCAAGATTTCTCGACGAATGAACGAGAGAAGTGATCATTTTTCTAACGAAATATTCCCCGCTCGTACCCGCGTCCGCTTCATCGGATAATCGGCCGACGTACTTCGCCGATCGGCGTCTGACCGGCGACGTCTTTCTTCCCTTTTTTCCGTCGCGCGTTGCACGGTCCGAGCGCACGCATTAAGCTCTTTCCTGTCGACGGCGCTCGTCGCGACCATTAATCTCTAAATTCGTCCGGCACATACGATGGACGTTAATCAGATATACACGCGGATAGGTCGAGCTATTCTCTCTCTCCTCGTCTGCTGACTACCTTTTAATTAAACACGAGCAAAAAGCAGACGGAATGGGAAAACGCTAGGTATTCATCTAGACCATTTTTTTTCGTTGATGTGATGCATATACGAACATCATAGCTGTTGCGTCGAGATCTCAATTCACACGCTTGTATATTGCCATTCGTGACAAGCGGTCGTTTTAATATCACTTGCGTAAGAATTGCATATGTCGATTGTAATGTATATATTTATTTTAATTTTTATAGCGAATAAAAAATAAAATGTAGGTTTGAAATTTTTATGAACTAATTTTCTAGAACCTTGTCAATAATAAATTATAATCATTGCTCCATTAAATTATAAATATAGAGAAAAGGCTTAAGGAGCGTGAATGACAATTTCATTAATTATCAATAATTATTATCAATAATTGATATTTTCAACATAATTTTGAACACGTGCTATAATTTCGTTTATGTGTTGATATATTATCCATAACTATTGTAATCTTTTTTCGTCATAAAAAAAAGAAATCGCGTTAAAATGTGCATAGTATTCTTGACGAAAATATTTTTCTACTAATTTTAATTGTAGTAAAACACACAATTTCGATTAAGACCGGCAATGGGCCGAAGGTGTGTGATTCGAGGTACGAACTCGGCACGGGGTTGATGTATGTCCGCGGTGCATGACCCTAATTAATAGGGAGGCCACGCGATGCAACTGTCCCGACAACATAAATTATGCACGTATTATAAGGTCAGAATAGGAGAGGAGAGTGGAATGAGCGAGAGCGTTATAGATTTATGGAAAGATGAAGTGACAGATGCTGAAAAGAACAGTGCCAAGAATAGAGAAGTTTTCGATTAATACCTGTTTTATATAACTTTTGCGACTCTAATATTGGAATAATATAAATTAAATTCAAAGTTTTATTAGGAATGGAACTTTAATAAGTGATGTTTGGGACCATTAAATGGTCTGCAAGAAACTTTATAAGCCACGAATACTAGGAATCACATTAAAATAGAATATAATTTTCTAATTATTTTATCAGAGGCGTTAATTATTTTCACGCACATTACAGATCAGAGCCTAACTCGATTTGTCCAATCTTCCGAATAGGAAGTCGCGCGCTTTGTTACATTCTTAAATCCACATCCAAGAACGCGATCTATACTCCCTGTCGAATTAGCCGACGATTTATGGCGGATAGATTTATTAGGGGGTGTACCTCGTTACCCCAGGGTACAGAGGAAGAGAAAGAGGGAGAAAGGCGACACTGAGGGAGACACGAGAGAGACAGAGGGACTTCCGACAGAGCATCGTCGTTATACGTACGGGACTTGCCAGAATTCCAGAGGTTACGGCTGGGATTACGTTTCGATAATTTATACGCGTGTGGACCTTGGGCTCGTCCTAGTGTCGTGCAACTGGATTTCCGTCCGGTTGTTCGATATATATGATAGTGGGCTTTACACTATACATTACTACGTATCGCGTTTAACGTAGATTTCATCGATCGATCTGCGATGTAATGCCATAAAGCGCGTGATGTATGCTGCTTGTTTTGCGTCGGTTTAAATACCGGAGATGTGTATACTTGTGTGAACCTGCGCTTCTCGCTCGTTTGTCCGCGCGATCTCTCAACGTAACGATTTCTCTTGCGCAAGAATGGATGCTGCGTCGCGCGCGGCCGCAGTTAACTTCTCCTTAAACAGCTATACTAATTGACCAATAGAAAGTGGAGCTCTGACGATGACAGAACACTGACAATCGCGTCCCGTTCGAGAGCATTCTTTCGGGATTGCGATCGTTCCCCGCGATAATTCTACGAGCGGAACTTGAATTCCCAGCTGTTTGACGGTTTTCGTTGTGATAAGCTATCGCGATATTCACTGCCGATTTGGGGAGTGCATAATTATTCAGCAGCTGTTATTTAATTTTTGTATATTTATAGAGTCACAATTTATGTTTTAATTGTTATGTTCAAAATCCGCGCAATTTGTACGCAATCTGGCACAAAATTATAATTGTATTGTAATTTACGAAATTAATATATGAATAGAATGATTTTTCAAACGCAATCTTCATAGCACTGTTTCTGAGTTGACGCTATGACCGACTTGTGGTATCCAGGACAGCGAAATTGAGCGTAAAAAATAGCTTCGTCGCGTTTCATAGCCATGACGTGAAAGGTCTTAAAGGTATACGAGCAAAATGCCCTTTCATATATACATATAACCGTATCGCGTCATAAAATATATAAGCGTATGACAGAGAAAATTCATTGTACATTGCCATATAATTAGCTGTAGACTGTATCGTCGGCAATTACGGTAATTTCTCGTAAAGGCCGATATTTCTCGCGCGCGGGTGCTTGGTTAACAAACGCTCCACAAAGCGTAATCTCCGATCGAAGGTACAACGAGAGCCGAGCGAGGGAAGGCACTCGAAGGGCGTTCTTTATTATTCGTAGGTCATTCGCGCTTCGCGTGACCATCCCCGATGGTGATCCTGCATCGCGACCGTCCATTTCTCACGCGGCCGATGGATTTTCGCCTGTCCGACTAATTGCCGGAAAGGAGACGTCGGTATGGATTCTACGGGCTATCGATATCATATACACGTGTAGGCGTAACTGTTTAATATTTGACGCCGGCCCCCGATGGAAACGGCAATTATCGAGATAAGCGCGCGCTCGCACGATATTCCCCGGCGTCATAAAGGGCTTCCTCTCCTTTTTCCATCCGGCCTCTCGGGAGAGCGTCAGTTAGGACGAAGCATTGAAATTCCGAACTTATCACTCGCTATCGTCGCCATCGTCATTTCCACTCGCAAACTCGTTTGTCGCCATCAAACGCGCGCTTTCCCGAAAGAAAAATGCCTGGACGCGTTCGCGTTCTTCAAGCTTCTTGGCAACAGGCCATTTTATTTTTTTTTTTTTTCATGATAATGATTTGGAACAATGACTGTTTGTCAAATTCGCGAATCAAATTTGTGAGAGTTTTGAAGACCATGCAATGTAATCAGCAGAAATCATTACCTGATCTTTCTCGACGAAACCCATGAACGACGTCCTCTCGATCTCGATCGGTTGGCCATGTCGATCGTAAAGAGCGATTACGAAATGGAAAAAATTGCTTTTCCTCAGATTACTCGGCGGTTGTTTTTCGAAATGCGCCCGGCCCACGCCAACCCTGTTCAATCAGATAGAACACATTTTATATCGTGTATTATAAATGTCTTTCTTATAAATATTCTAATATAATATAAATATTCTAAAACATTATTTGAAAACATTAAAAATATATTATTACACTAATTTAAAGTGTAAAAGAGTTTTCAAATTTAATGAGCTTAATATTGTACTGCATAATTTATTTTTTATGCACATGCAAATATCACTCTCTACGATTCAGTGAATCTCTTTTATACAAATCAATCTATACGTATTTAAAAATAATGCTAATTTTTCAACAAGCGCAAATAATCTTTAAAACTTGATCTTTATCTTTAAAGTCAAGTGAAACGTTATGCTCTCCATTGTGGAATCGAAGAGGTGTCATCAGTCTTTGAGTGCAATAAGAATGTCCTAACCGGTAGAGAGGAAAGACAAACGAGATCGACTGTGGGGAAGCGCGCAGGTGGCCTCGACGCCTTAAAATCCCATTAAGGTCTCATGTGCCGAGATTAGGCCGCCGGACTCCAATGCCATCTTTGAGTAATGGCACGGAAAGTCCCCTTTTCAAGTACATTGCGCTTTGCATAATTCGCGGGTGGATATCACACTCGATGTTGATAGATCTCGGAGGTCGTTATCACCATTTTATCGTTATTCTTTCATATATCGATGATAATAATAAAAATATACAATAGAATAATTATTATATCGCCTCTCAATTTATCGCAAATCTCCAAGCAGTTCTCTCCGTTTCACTCTGTTAATTTTTTTTTTTCAATAATAGAATGTAGACTTGGTGAAACATTTTACAGATTGCAACGAATAAATCGTGGACAAGCCATAGTAAATATGATTGCGCGTTTAAAGGATTTTTTGACTTTTCCGTAGAACGTATATTGCAGTCGGCGGTTAAAAATCACCGCCGAGAAATCGCATTATCGGCGCTGGTCTGTGTGTGATCGTGCCGTCGCGAAACGATAAAACCATCGCACGACTGCACAGAGCCGCGCGCACAGCCATCAGGGCGGACCCTCGGAGCGGAAAACTGAATCGACTGGACCGAAAATGAATAGCGGCAGTTTTGCAGCACATTTGCGAAATAAATGATGGTATCGGCGGTGCGTTTGTCACGCCAGGTGGTGGGACGCCGAGCCGCCGGCAGGTTGGGGGAGGAAACGCGGAGGGGTCGGTTGCAACGCGGGCTTTCGGGAACGAGCGTCGGGGACGGCGGGGGTGGATCACGGGCAGGGGAGGACGCGTTGGAGGAAGGGGAGTGATGTACTGCCCGTGTCGATAATTATCGGTGGCTGATTAACCGGTCGCCGGTTCGCGCCCCATAACTCTCGACGTCCGATTATTTTGCCCCGTTTGCCATGCACCAATTCCTATATAACGTGTAGGCACGTTCTGCCGTACCGTTATATTATCGCCCGCACCGATGCACCACCACTCCTTTTCGAGCGACTATCGAGGATTGCGGAAAACCGCGCATACGCGTGCAGTTTGTATCGCTAATATGACAATAATGCGTACGCGGTTATCGGTGCGTGCCAACTTACGCGTAAATTAGTTTAGAGAAAGGAATACATTTTCAAATTTAAATCACATTTCGGTATCGATTAAAAAAAGTGCCATGTTATCTTGACGAAATTATTTTAAATCTTATAGGTATACTTTCACATATAAGTCGAAGTATTTTGTAAAATTTAATAATAATATGTATATCAAATTGAAAATTGTAGTAATTTGTGTGTAGATCCAATTCCTTATATTTTATTAATCTTCAAATGGACCAGATAAATTCAAGAAATACGATAAATTTAGAAGAGAGGAAGAAGTAAATTCGCAGTTTGCTAATTTTGTCATAATTTTAAATTTGTAATTTTTAATTTTAAATATATTTTGTCATAATTTTTAGCGTAGCAAAAAATCTATATACACTTTTATTGATATCTATACACTTTTATACACTATATATCTATACTCTATACACTTTTATTGATATCCCTTAAACGGTTGCTTGTTTCTCATGATTGCGAATGTCACAGGACGCTCAAACGTTTGAGTTACGTTGCATGAATACATGAGGATAACGCGCGCTTTATGCGCTTATTGCTCGACCGAGGTGATAATTACGGGCTCCATTCGCGTTTACTATATTCGTGTGTGCAATTTGCCACCCGCGCACTTTCGGCTCACAGATAACATTTCCGACACCTGCGAATCATTCGCTCCCCCGCTGCTATTCCGTTCTGCAATGATTATTCTTCTAACTATAACGTCGCGCGATTCGATTCGCAAATTTCGATCCACCGATGGCGATGTATATTGAAATACGTAAATAAAGTGCGCTGGAAGATGTAACTCGTTCTTCGACTTCCAATGCAACTTCTCGATCGCGAGAAGGGTTACGTGAATTTATTGCACGAGTATTGCACGATTATACGAACAGTGGCGAGAATAAAAGCGGCGCGTACGCGGTTTACGAACCGTGCGGATGTGACGTTATGAGAAGAATTGCGCTTTATATCGCGTTAGGAAATTACGACGGAGCTTTTTCGCTCCCGTGAAATCTGTGAAGTCATCTACGTACGTAGGTATTCAGGGCGTAACGACGTAATCGACATTTAAACGATGACAAAGCATAATCTGGGATGCATTTAGAGCAACGGTAGATTGTCGGAATAAACGATCGATAGTATTTATACTTTATACACGAAATGCGAGCTATGCTATTTGCGCGACATACATTATGAATGAAATATGCGAATAATACGAACCCACCGATATGGTTACGAATTCACGGATAAAGCAATCGTAGAGAATTACAATAAATCCGTGGGTAATACGCACCGTCGGGCGTTAGTTATTGCGAGTTGGCCGAAGCACACTCTGTTTACGCTCGCACCCAACGCGATTCATAATGTGCATGGAGATAATGAGCAATTTGTAATATATCCGAATGTAATTTGCTATGAGTACGCTTTACTGCGAGCGTTGTTCAATTTAGCATGTTTCATCGTACCTTCCGCACATAAAAATCTATTACTTATTAATAGACACACGATACGTATATATATTTTACAAATATTTCGCATGAGAGTTTTCGCGATAATACATAATTTTCGTGTATCTTAATTAAGCTAAAATAATTACATAATTAAAGCATATACATTTAATCGAGTAATATATAAATTATTAATTACTTAGATTTATAATTATCCTGAAATTATAAAACATAAAATTTCATTAATGATTTGTTACAAACATAACTTATTACGTTATTTATTTGACAATTTTTAAATGATGAGACGTAAACATAGGTGATATTATGATACGTACATACATATGTCTTTTCCCGATTTGTCGGACGACTAACGATTTCAAAGATTGATTGCAATTTTTTTCCCACTCGTTTTTTTTCTTTATCTCTGATTCATACGCGAAGCCATCGTTTTTTCGCTGCGCGACAGTCCCTTCTGTCGAGTGCGATAGTTTATTGCTTCATTAGGTGGATAACTTTTTTAGCAGTTTTTAAAAAGCTTCAGAGTTTATATGCCTCTGTGTTTCGCGGGAGTTTTAAAACAATTTCGCAAACCTTTTCTCTCTCTCTCTCTTTCCCTAGCTGATCTCGATGTAACGCAGTTGTGTGGTACAACCATTCTTCGTAGCAGGAAACGAAACTTTCCCGCTACGAGTTTCCATGAAGGCGAAAGTTGACGCTTAACATTTTGCGACTCTTAAACTTTTGTAAGATAATTTATTTAGATTGCCGTAATATTTTGATTCAATTAGGTTTAATAAAAAAAAATGTATGCTCCGATTTTTTTATGCCAATCGCGTTATTTATCTCTCGATCATTCGAGTCATTTACTTAATATTTATCACTTTATCAGATTTATAATAATTCTCGAATTATATGACCAATTATATATATATGTATGTATGTAATATAAATTATATTATGGATATAATCCATTTTAAGTTCCATAAGATTTGTTAAATTTATATATAATTAATTATCAAACGTACAATTATATAAAATATTTGCTTTTAAATTAATTTGATATTTGCATTTTTAGTCTTTGTGTATCTTTGTGTATTTTTATTTTTCATCAGTCTTGGTAATATAATACTTTTGCGCAAATAGCTTTAATAAAATTATTCACGAGTGCGGGACGAAATAGTTGTCTTTCTTCCTTCGAAGAGGTTCCGATAGCCTGCAGGAAGAATGATTGGATAAACGAGGGGGAAAATACGGTGAAAGTCCAGGATGAAACGATGAGCAAAAGGCGCTAAAATTCTCAATTACATTAACTCGATTCCGGTCGGTCCTCGTGTCACGGTACTTGGAGGAAGGGATTAGTTAGAGAACCGCTATTGGATTAGCGAATCCGCCGGCTCGCCCGGTTTACCTTGCCGAGTAGTCGTAGATATTTGTGCCTTCGTCGTTTGCACGTCGTACAAATCCTTTAAGCGAGGCTGCAATAAAGCACGCTTTATCGTTCGCCAAATGCAGGAACGTGCGCATCGCGATTTGAAGCGATATGCTCGTGAAAATAAAGGGACTATCTGTTTTTGCAGCACGGAACAGTAGCTATGCTGTCGATTTTCAGTGTTATCACCTGAAACGATGATAATGGGGAAAAGAAAAAGATTTCAAGCGATTATGTAAACGGACAGTCTTATGGTGAGACAAAAAAAAGGAAAATTGCATTTTACTGGCTTTTCGAAAAATAATGAAAGTGAGCTTTATATTATTGTGACGAAGAAATCGTGCCTTTTTAGACAATTTTTCATGTGTTTTTTTTTGATAAATTTATAATTTATATATTTAATTTATTTATAATGTACTCATGTATCTAAAATTGTCGCAATTTTAATAAATATCGAAATTTAGGGATTACGTAGGGATATAGCTCGCCGTCCGATCCGACGGCAAATGTCATAACAATAGTATACGGATATATTTTCGGGATTTGTATTGAAAATGAATACATTTCCGTATTTTATGTTAGCATATGCTTTGATTAATTATTACAATGTGCGAAAAATTAAAAGCAAAATAATTTTAACGATGCGCAGTATTTATTAAGTACGTTCAACTGAAACGTGGATTAATTCCAATTCTCAATCTACGTTTCAGTTGAATTTGCCATATATTTTGTTGTCTCTTGACGAGTAAATAACGAAGTAATATGTTACATATCTTTAAATATATAGTTTATATATCATTTTAAAATATATCATACTTTAAAAACTGAGGATAGAAATTTATCGCGTGATGGTTTTACCCCTTGTTAGAATTATAGAAACGATATTGCGCGTAAAACTTGTTCCTTTCATTGTTTATTGCGGAAAATAAATTATATATATTTTACAACAAAGAAGAATCAATTTACTCAATTGTGTGACATAAAAAATCTTATCAGATATATCCTCGATGAAATCGATCGTCGCAATAAAATCAAATGATGGGAATAATTAATACGTTATATTATTCAACAATAAAAATTAATTTCCTCCAATATTACAGCTCCGTTAAAAAGTACATGTAATCTCATACACGTCTCTTTGTCAAACGTAAAGATTATATATTTATGTACTCACGTTCCGTTGTCGGCGAGCGCGGGCTGCGGCCAAGCACGTGGTACAGGTTCCTCCTTCAATATCTGCCTCATATCTTGAGGCGCGAAAACCAACGGCGCCCGGGGATGATGATGAGGCGGCGGGGGCGGCGGGGCCACACTCGCGCCGTACAGCTTACGTCCCCAGTGACCCTCGAGCTCGACGGGACTTCCGCCTCCCGTGGTGGCCCCCGTACCACCCCCGGCGCCGAGTCCGAGCCATGCCGACCCCCCAGCACCCACGATAGTGGAGCTGGGCAGGAGACTGCTCCACTCGTCGGACCGCGTGGTGAGGCCGTAAGGATTCTCTTGGGGCAACAGGCTTCCTCCTTCGCGTTGCCACTCTTTGCAGAAACCTTCGTCGCCCCCTCGCTCACCACCCCTTCGCGCTTCCGCGAGAGACTCCACTGGTTGTCTCTCCGTCAGAGCGAATACGTTCGGTGCCACGTTTCTTTAGATGCGTGCATGAATCGTTATCACTTGGACGCCAGCGGCCGGTAGCCCGTGGCGGTGCATGAATGTCCGCTCACCACTGACGGTGTCGCGTCGTTCCGGGTTGCACCGTCAAACCGGGCGCACCGACCGCGTGTCGATGCACATGCGTCCGAAACGTGCGTGCCACGAGTTCGCGAGAGGAGCGCGCACTAAAGGGGTTGCGTCTCACAATGCACTGTTCTCACTAGATGACAGTTCTCATTCGCTCGCGCGGAATCGTGTCCTTTTTTCTCCCTATCGGTTCGCGTTGGTCCTCGCAAAATGTCACGGGTCTCTATCACTGATCTTGTATCACTTTCTATACGATGTACCGCATGTTCGCAGGCCTTACGACGGACGTCATGTGTTGTCTTTTGAACGCTCTCTTGAATCGTCTTTGTGATGATTCCTTCGAAATTGTTCGATGATCCTTATACCCGATGAGGTGGCATACGTCGGGACGTAAACGTATGCAGCGGTAGTAATCTGAGCACTCGTCGGCGACACCCTGGCACGTATTATCGTCGTCGCCGAAACGTCTCAAGCGTGTCTCGTGACCAGCGGAGAGGTCCTTCGAGGTCCCCAGTCGCACGTTGTTTCCCGTTACGGAGCCGCTTGTCGAATGTGTCAGGGCCGGCACTAGCGGCGTGCCAGCAGGTCCCAGTGGGGTCGGGCTTTGAGGATAGCGGTGGGCGCGGCCAGGAACGACACGGCGCAACGACCATACCGTTGGGGTGGTTTTACCCATTTGGTACTGTGCACCAATCCACTGCGAGTTGCACGACCAATGGATGAAGCTGCCTGTACCCATCTCGACGCCCATTCCAGATACCAAGGATTGTGGCGCCGCTACGGCAACGTCATGAGACTGTCACTTTGGTGCGAGCCGCACTACCCTCAAGGTCGATACTGTGACGCTCCGTTCCTTGAAATAAAAATGTAGGAGTTCAATTCCCTAAAAATATCGAGAAATTGCATTTTCTCTTGCTTAAATAAATATTTTTTCAAGTTCTATATAATTTCCTTGATAAAATTTATTATATTTTTTTATTAATTTTTTGTGAGACAAACATTTTTTCACAATAGATATTATAATTTACATTCTTCAGAAAATGATTTTTATAGCTTTTATTAAAAATAATTTTAAAAACTATGCAGCAGAAAATCAGACTACTTTAACTGAAAGTAATACATAGATAGATCTTGCTGGTACCTTATTTTAACGCGATGACATTTAGAGATGTATCGCATATTGCGAAAATACTTTTTATTCTACTCTGGATGTTATTTTGCGGTCATGTTTAACTTGTCAATTTTTATCAAGAATATATAATCAATCAAAATACAAAGAAATCTGTGATCTCCCTCAAGAATTTATCGAATCACCAACTGACATACCATTTCTATTGGCATTAAACTCACTCTCTTTTCGCCGCGTCGTAGATCACCCGTTCTACTTATTGATAGATCGATTAGTATGTATCGATTTTCTAATCAAATCATAAGAATAAAATTTTCCTCATTTGTACATTTTTACTTTTATAATCGACAGTTTTGTTTCCTGTCTTGATATTTATATTTATATTTTTAATTTTATATTTATATTTGTAATACAGATTGTATTGTATATTTATCATTTACTTAGAGAGAAAATTTCTTGACTTTTTAAAAATATATAATATTTTAATACGACAAAAGTATTTAATCATTATCTATTGATTACCTGTTGGATTTTTCAAAATATTTGTTAGTTTGTTACAATTTATATTTAAAAATTTTTGATTTTATTTTGAGAAGATTAAATTTAACGCAAATTAGTATACATTTTATATAAACGACAAAAACATTAAGCGTTACTATGTAATCGAGTATATAAATCTTAAGTCGAGTGGCAGTTGGGTCGAAAAAAGTAATTATAGAATTTGTTTGAATAAATTTATGTGATGGAGGGAATAAAGGCAATCGCGAAGTTAGAAGGGAAAGAAGAAAGGAAAAGACTTGCAGTGTTTCGCAATCCTCTTACTAGTGTAAAACCTAAAGAAAATCTATTCTTTTCCCGAGATCTTGTTTGAACAATTTACATCGGAGAGCCACTGCTTCAAGGGTATGGGGCCTATCAAGTGGAGATAATGTGTTCTGTGCCGGGTAATTTGGCTCTCCTTCCTTCTTTCCACTTTAACCGTGAATCTACATCTTTGACTGTTTTGCATTTGCAAACATTTCTGAATATTTGGTATATTCTGTATATTTATATATCTATTGTAAAACTATCGACTAAACTTAATCGTATATAACTCAAAAGTTTAATCAAAAACATTAATCATTTATCCCGCTGCACATAATGTTATAAAAATATGCATGCATTTATATTGATTAGAAGAAATATTAGAATTTAAATAAGATTAAAATATTCATCTATTTGCTAGTAATATACCAGTTACAGAATCAAGTTTAACAGTGAGTAATCGCTCAAACTATTTAACGTACACTCACCATGTACGTGAAGTGTCAGAGGTCGCCGATTAATGTTTATCACATGGCAAGATAATGAAGCTTAATGAGGGTCTGCAGGCGTCATTACGAAACACTCGACATGCGCGCGTGCCAAACCGGTTTCAATCTCCTTTTTTCTGAAGCTCGTCTTCTCTTTCACTGCCGTGATTCATGAGATCCCTCTCGGCTGCCCAACAGCCTGTAACATTGCCACCTTATGTCAATGACATGACTCCGGGGTATGAGAAGCCATTTAGAAATGCTTCTTGCTCCGTTATGCCTCGGTTCTTAAAAAAGGATCGCTTTAGTTTGCAAAAACAAAATGTTTCGCGAGATTACTCTGTTGCAGTTGAATCGTTATTTTTAAATAAAAGAATAAAGTCTTTTAAAAACTTCTTTATGTTGTATCTTAAGAATTTTGCAACGAGTTGATATATTTGGAAATATTAATGATATTAATATAGAAAAGATATATATCAAATAGTAAATACTTTCGATAGATTTCGATTTTATGCGTAGATGCTTTTCAAACATCCTAGTAATCCAATAGCAAGAGGTATCGACGTTCCTAAATGTCCCAATGATGTCAAATGAACATCATTGCATCGGCCAAATCCAATTATCAGTTGGAAGGGTCGTACGATTTTCAATATTGCCACGATGTGCGTAGATATAAGTATCCTGCATAAGTTAACTTATCTTTTAAGCCTATTACTTGCCTATGATAATATTTAGATTCTGGTTTTTTTATTTGTTCCACATGAGATTCTGCATATGTCGTCGGCTTAAAGGGACGCGCTTGCGGATGAAATTGTCAATTGAATTTTTCAGCTCAGTAGCTGATGTATCGATAATTAAGAAAGTCTTTAGCGATGCATTAAAGCATGAGTATTCAGAAAGAAATATTGCGTAACTGATAAAAAGTAACTGAGAACTGATAATAGATAAAATATATAAAAAAATATATAAAAAAGTTATAGGAGAGTATAAAATGTGAGATATTTAAAGGAATTTATTCAACGTTCATTTTTTATTACTTATCTTATACGGTAATAATTTTCTTCATTAATGTTATTATGATTATAATTATTATGAACTATTTCTTCTTTAAAATTAAAGCAGCAATAACTATATATCGTTAAGATTTCCGGAGTAATTTTAAGAATTACTGTTTTTAATTGCCTTCTGTTGTGAAGATTGGGCGTGCAAAAATAGCGACAATGTGAGCTTCGCGCACGACATGGATCGATGATTCTGCAAAATCTAAAATAGACGGGCGTGTTGCCGTAGCGAACCGCACTTGTCCCACCGTAATAGTATCCGTAGGTACACCCTACAGCCATCGAAGCATCAAGGTACTACCAGTACGCAATGGTACATCGTGGGTCGGCAAGAAGGGTCCTGCCGAAGAGACCTCGACATATGTGACGCTTATGTGGGGTGGCATCCCTCAGGCTCGCGAATTCGGAACATGTGCGCGGGATAGAAGTGTCCAGAATTCTATGATAGAGTTTGTTTGCACTTGCACTTGCGACTCGTGAAGTGGTCCTCTGATTATTTTCGTCTATATTAAATCGAGACGTCCCCACCTGTCAATCGTTCTAATTGTAAGCATTCGCAAGAAGCTGAGAGATTCGAATTCGGTTGACAAGTGAAAAGATACGAGAGCTCTTCTATTGCTTGCAATACTTCTTTGTGATATTATGTAAACGTACTGCTACTTATATAAAGCGAAGCTTTAAAACAATAATATTTTTTAATATTATCTTGTTTTATTTTCTAAAAGCGTGATTATCTAAATGCATAATTATAATAAGAAGATAAAATAATTTTGTGTATTATTAAACGTTTGAATTTTCAGACGTTTAATTAACAATTTTGGAATAAATTCAAGTCGCAGGAACATCACCTCTCGGATTCGCGATGTTTCACAAAAAGGCGGCGTTAAAAACCACACAGTTCATCCGCATTGTATTTGCTCGTGCTGTCTCGAGTTCAGCATTTGGTATGACAATACCGCTGATCAGCGCATTGATGCGTGATTATAATGATAATGCCGCCTCCTGTTTCTCAGGGGGGTGAGCGCGGGTGCGCGCGCGGAAACCCCTAAGGGGCGCTCGAGTTTTTCGGGTAAAGTTTTTCCTACGCAGATGCGCCACCGAACGGGGCTATTTATTAGCACGGCCATCCTGCTCGTGCACTCCCATTCAAAAGGGCCGGACAACAGGTTGCCGCGTCAACGTCATTAGCTGTTACGTTTTTGTTCCTTGCCCATTGGGGTTTACCTCTATGCCGATAAGAGACACGTTGGTCGTTAATCCTTTTCTCGACGAGATAAGCTGTAGGGCTGTGATTTTCAGCGGAAAAGGACGCCTTTATCGTCTCATCCATAGAACGAATTTTGAAATTGCAATGCTTTTATTACACTTTCATTCCGCGTGGAAAATTCTTCACGTCATAAAATCGCGTTCAACATAAGATTAATGAAAAATAAGAATTGCCTATATTACAGAAATTTTTTATATCTTAGGAAACTTCCGTATATTATGGACGAAACTTGGAGAGATCGCTTCATGATTTATTCCGTGGGCTAGCATGGTCATGGTAGCCGTAACCACCACTAAACTCCGTCTACCCGAATCGAGGACGCGTCTGTTTCCATAAACCAAATTATTTTTATATCCAGGGATATCTACGTTCTCTTGAATTAGTGATAAGCAAGGACGGCTACTCGATACGTCGCTGACCGCTCATACAACCCCTATGATATATCTAGCGGATAAAACCTAGCGAATCGCAATAGCGATTTCTCCATCGGTTGTCCATAATACGAGGGATTTGTTTTCACTTTTCTATCCCACAACAAATTACGCTTGTCACATTCAGTAATGCTGACATTCAGTAATGCTACATCTTGGCAAAAGTTTATGTATATGAATAAGATAAAATCCTGTAAGTTCTCGTTTTTTTGTTAAAAATTATTCAAAATTTTGTTCAAATTATTTCACATAATTGTCGCAGATAATTGTTAATTTTGGGGAAGATTCCGCACACATCGTAGAGTTTATATCTCACTGGAGATTCTAGGAAAGGGCAATCAACATCACCGCTAAGT